TCTTATTTAGTTTAGTTTTCATTATTAAAATATTTTTTTCTCTCATCTCTAGTTCCTTCATGAGTTCTGTCACCTCATTTCTGAATTTTTATAATTTCAATTTATGTTCTTTTTTATACAATTATAAAAAAGATATAATTTTTGTTGATGTCTTTTAGCTTGTTTTCATCTTTTTTAAAAAAACGTCTTCCTGGAATGCTTTCACTATCTGTAGGGATGTTATTCTGCTCCTTATTCTCTCTCTTGCTCTCTCTCTCATAGTCATTTTGTATTCCCAGGATTTAACTTGGATACTTTTCCATTGCTCATTTTTACATGAGATTAGTTTTTCTGAACATTTATTTATTTATTTTTTGTGAGGAAGATCAACCCTGAGCTAACATCCATGCTAATCCTCCTCTTTTTGCTGAGGAAGACCGGCTCTGAGCTAACACCTATTGCCAATCCTCCTACTTTTCTTTTTTTTTGCCCCAAAGCCCCAGTAGATAGTTGTATGTCATAGTTGCACATCCTTCTAGCTGCTGTATGTGGGACACGGCCTCAGCATGGCCGGAGAAGCGGTGCATCGGTGCGTGCCCGGGATCTGAACCCTGGCCACCAGTAGCAGGGTGCACGCACTTAACTGCTAAGCCACGGGGCTGGCCCCCTTTCTGAACATTTAGAAGGAGGCTTGGTTAAGATAGCTTTTTTATCTTCCCAGAGCTCTCCCTTCTGTTGTCTCTGCACATTGTTAATATATATATATATGTATATATGGCTCGTTCTCTGGCTCTGTTCCCCTCCCCCACTTTTATCCAGCCCTTCTGTTTCCTTTATTTCTGCTTTCCCTATTCTGCCCAATTTTGATTCCTTTCTCAGTAGTTTCTCCTCAGCACGAGGCTTGTCCTGGAAAGAAGACTTGGTGGTCATTTCAAGAATTCATAGGGGTTGAACTTCTTTAGCCTGTGGGCCTTATGGCAGACCCCTTGCCCTCACCCACTGTTGGAGTTAACAAAACCCTTCCCAGTTCCAGCTGCAATTCTCATGCCCGGCCATGCTTTCCCATGAATATATTTTGCAATTTTGGGATTCTCCAGTTCTCTGGTTCATCAGATGCCTGTTACTTCCCTTTTATTTCTCCTACGCAGAGGCCCCAATGGCACACGGGCCTTGTAGCTATGGCTGATTTGTCCTCACCAACTTGTTTTTTGAGTTTGTGAAGATACCTGTCCCCTAGTTTCGTTGTAAATGTGTTTCTGGAATTTTGTTTCTGTTTTTATGTGGGGATTTGGCAGGAATCAAATCTACGCAGGGCATCACTGCCTTCATCTTACCAGAATTCCCTGAGGGCTATCATTTTTACAAATGAGGAAACTGAGCCCCAGGGAGGTGATTTCCCCAAGATCACACAGCTAGTGACAGAGGATAAATATCCGTGAGAGCACCGGCTGTCCTGCATGGTACAGAGAAGATGCTTAATGTACACCACTCTCCCTCTGTCTCCTTTCCATCTTCCTTTCTGCTTCTACCTGTCAGTGTCTCTTCAGGATTCTGTTACTGACAATTAAGCGAGATTATCCAGGCAAAGAGCTCATCACACTGACAACAAAAAAGCATTAAATAAATGGTAGCTGTTAGTACAGAATTTATGGTCGAAGAGACCAAGGGTTAGAGAGGTAAATAATTGCTCCAAGGTTACACAGCTGGTTAGTGACACAGAGAGGATTTAGACTCGGGTCTGTCTGACCAGAAGCCAACTTTCTTTCTCCTATACCAGTGGTTCTCAACTGGGGGCAATTTTGTCCCCCGGGGGATATTTGGCAATGTCTGGAGACATTTTTGGTTTTCACCACTGTGAGTGTAGGGTGCTACTGTCATCTAGTGGGTAGAGGCCAGGGATGCCATTAAACATCCAACAACGTACAGGATGGCACATCCCCTACCCCCAACAAAGACTTGTCTAGCCCCAAATCTCAACAGTGATGAGGTTGAGAAACTATGCCCTATACCACGGTGCTATCCTAAACGAGCCTTACCTTAGAACCAGTACTGAAGCTGGTTCTAGGAGATTGTCTAACTCAGAGTCACATGCCTTGAAAACAGAGGCAGCTCAGGCATTCCTGGCCTCCTCCACACACACCCAATGCCCAGATTTCTTTCTTCAGAGACTAGAGGAAGCTAGGAAAGCAGGATATTTGCAGCCCTCCAAACCAAGACACATGGCAAGCTGCCCTCCCTCTGGTGATCTTTCTGCTCTCAAGTGGGGTGGTCATAACCAATCAACAGACATTTCATGATACGATGTACCAGAACTCTGCGCATGCCATCCCACTGAATCCTCCTAAGGACCCCCTAAAGAAGGGGTACCATCCCTCATTTTACACATGAAGAAATGGAACTTTTCAAGGGGTAGTTCAGAGTCTGTTACTTCTGAATGCCCAAGGCAGAAATGTAGAAGACAGAAGCTCAAATCCCAGCTCAACCACAGAGTTATCATGTGACTGCAGGCAATTTCTTCTCCTTCTCTGAGCCTGTTTCCCAACCTGAAAGAACAAAGAGGCAGGACTACATGACCTCTAAGGCAAAGTAAAATTTGGGGCTGTGATGTCATACAGACTTGGGTTCAAATCCAGCTCTTTCACTGACTATATTGAGCCCCTAGGCAAGTGACTTACCCTTTCCGAGTTCAGTTTTCTCATCTGTAGATGGGACAATCTTACTTGCTGTTCACAGGGTTATAGTAAGGTGTAATTGAAATCATATAAGCAAATTATTTAGCATAGTGCCTGGCAGATTTAATTCTTCAAAAAATGGGAACTCTTTTTGCTGTCATTGTTGTTTATCTGACTCTTCCAATCCTGAGATAACTTGGTTCTCAAATGTAACACCAGGAGGAACCAAAAATAATGGCCCTCAATTGAGGGATGGGACAGGGCCTTCTGGGGCATCTCTGAATCTCCTCCCAACCCTTCCGTGCCCTTGAGACCAGGTTCTGGACCTATGTTCCTCTCCTCCTGCTGGCAGTATGTGGGATTGCAATCCGGACTGGGTACCACCAGTGGATCAATCCTGGGTCTGGGTTCAGAGGGGTTTATCCCAATGCCTAGGACAGCATGGTTTGGACAGGGTTATCCCCTACCCTTTGCCACAAGAGGTGCCATTTGTAAAACACTTACTGTTTGCCTGGCAGGGGGCAAGGCGTTTCCTCTTATGAGCTCATCTAATCAGCTTTTTGCCCACGAGGAACTAGAGGCTTTGGAAGTTTGAATGATTTGGCCAAAGTCACATAGCTAGAATTGGGGTTGCCAGACTATGGTAGGCTGAATAATGGCACCCCAAAGACGTCCTCGTCCTAATATCCGGAACCTGTGAATATCTTACCTTGTATGTGAAAGGAACTTTGCAGATGTGGTTAAATTAAGGATCTTGAGATGGAAGATTATCCTACATTATCTGGGTGGGCCCAATGTAATCACAAGAGTCCTCATAAAAGGGAGGCTGGACACACTGTACCTCTAGTCAACAATAATGTTGTGTTCACTTAAAAATTTGTGAAGAGGGTAGATCTCATGTTAAGTGTTCTTAGCCTGAGAAAATAAAAAGGTTTTCTGAAAAAGTGGGAGGCAGGAGGATCAGAGTTAGCAGTAGACATGACAACAGAAGTAAGAGGTTGAAGTGATTCGAGGAGGGGCCACGAATCATGGAATGCATGTGGCCTCTAGAAGCTGAAAAGGCAAGGAAATGGATTTTCCCTTGAAGTCCCCAGAGAGAATGCATCCCCGCCAACACCTTGATTTTAGACTTCTCACTTGCAGATCTGTAAGAGAACAAATTTGTGTTGTTTCAAGCCACTAAGTTTGTAGTAATTTGTTATAACAGCAATAGGAAACTAATACACAGGTTTAGCAAAAAATTAAAAAAAAACAAGATGCCCAGTTAAATCTGAATTTCTGCTAGACAATAATTTTTTTAGTATAAGTATGTCTCAAATGTTGCATGAGACATACTTAAAAAGAAATTGTCATTTACATGAAATTCAAATTTAACTGAGTGTTCTGTATTTTATCTGGCAACTCTAGAAGTGGTGGAGCTGAGAGCAGAAGTCAAAACTCATGGTTCCCTGGAACCCCTCTCCCCTCCCCCAACACAATCGAGCATCTGGCAGAAACTGTCATGTTCCTGTGGCCCCCGTGTGTCAGTTCCCATCTCCCTCGGACTCCTCTTGCCCCTGGGGTAGGGGAAGGAAGAGATTGTTTAAGGTCATCTCTTGGATACTCCATTGGGCTCTGAGTCCTCCTAGACCAGAGAATTTCTCTCTAGAAATGATTTAGCGTCTTTACTCTGCTCGAAAAAGGGACCTGGGAGATTTGTCTCAAAGTTGTAGTTGCACAAAATATATGCTGGGGAAGAGGGGACTGGGTTTCTCAAGCTACCACTTTCTGAAGTGGACTTCACGAACCCCAAAGCAGGAAACAAGTAATTATTGAATCAGGATTCCAGAGCAAGGGGAAACTGAAGCCCAAGGGTGGAACGGGGACTTGCCCAAGGCCACTCAGCTAACGACAGCCACAGATGCGCCCTGAAGTGGAAGCTCCCGCTTTGGAGTAGCCAGTCCCGACGGCAGCTGTGGTGGGAAGAATCCTGGAACGCTAATCCCGAGGTCTAGGTTTGAAGCCCTTTACTTCATTGGCCGCCAGTTTCCCTTCATGAAACAGGAGAATCCCATGAATACTAGGATTTAATGAGATAACGGATAGAAAACACCAGGTACATGGTAGTATGTTCTCAGGAGGCGGTAGTTTCTTTCTTTCCTTCTCTGGGCCTCAGTTTCCCCATCTATACCATCTACACCTGCTCGCGCCCCCTGTTTCTCCCGGCCAGCCCCTCCCCGGGCTCTCGTCCCACAGCGCGGAATCCCGGCCGCTAGTGGGGGACAGAAAGCCGGCACTGCGGCGAGCCCCCGCACATGCGCACTCACGGCGGCGCCCCGCCTTCCCACGCCCTGCGACGTCACTTCCGGCGCGAGGGGCCGGGCCGGCCGGGCGGGGAGTGCGGGTAGGTTCTGTGCGCGCTGTAGGACGAGGCTCCCGCCGCCCGTTGACCCGCGCTCCGCCCCGTAGCCGGGCCGGTGAGTGCCCGCGAGCCCCTCCGTGTGCCTTGGGGGCCGGGGAGAGGGACCGCTGAGAGGGAGGGGTAACCGGAAGTGGGGGACCCGAGGAGAGAGAGAGAGACCCCAGGAAATGGGGACGCCTGGGGAAGGGGTGACAACCGGAAATGAGGGGGCTCGAAGGTTGTCGACGGGACGTGGGGTCTCTGGGGCTCCAGGAGCGATGGCTTCCTGACCTCTCCTTGGTGGGATGGGGTGGGGAAGAAGGTGATGCTCACAAAATGATGGGTTCCAGGTGAGGAAGATTCCCGGCTTCTCCCTCACGAATGGTGTTTGCATCCAGCCCTATACCCACCCATCCGTTCATTCGCCAGACTGTCACTGGGTCCTGCTCTCTGCTTAACGCTGCCGAGGCCCTGGAGATTAAACAGGGAGCTCCAGGTGGAGTGTAGCGCCCAGTGTGGGGCTAGACACATCCTCGCTCGGCCTCACTGGGTGTGTACCCTTGGGCACATCACTTACCCTCGTATCATCCGCTGATATTTACTGAGCACGGTTATGCACCAGGCACTGGGGCTAGCAGTGAACGTGGCAGGCAAGTTGTCTGCCCTCATGGGATTTACATTCTAGTGGGCAGTTTCCTCCTTTGTAAAATAGGGACCGTAATAGTGCTCTCACCAAATACTGCGAAGATTAAATGAGAGACGGTTGTAAAGTGCTTATCACGGTGCTTGATACTTAGCAAAACGCTCAAGCACGTGTTATCTCTTTTCACCATTCCACCATGAGTTAAACTTCATAAGGCAAAGAATGACATTGTTTACTGTTGTGTGCGCCCAGCATGTGTGAGCATGTACCTACCTGTGTGGTAGGTGATCAGTAATTATTCGATAAATGAGTGGATGGTGAAACTCACTCTGAGGAGTTTCATGTAATCACCCATGGCACTGACTGCAATTTCTGAAAGAGAAATAGGAGCCCGGTGCTGTGGAAAACTGGAGGGAATCACCCTGGGGGAGTCAGAGAAGGCTTCACAGAGGAGGTGACATTGAAGCTGGGCCTGGAAGGTGATGAGTTGTCTGGTTGGGAATAAAGAAGGAGAGGAAGTTCCAGGCAGAGGTGTCAGACATGCATGAGGTGTTCCGAGAGCGGTGGCTCATTGGTTTGTTTTCACTGGCATTTGATGTGCATTGAGGGGGGAAAGGTGGGAGAGAGACTGGAAAGGGACTTTGAGGCTAGACCTGTAGCTCATGGACCCTATAGTCTGTCTCCAGATAGCCCTGGATTGGGATTACAGGCATCTGTTGGTGACTCCCATGGAAACAGAGCCTAGGGTGAGTCCCGTGAACCATGAGTGTTGTTCCATTCCTCACTCAGCATACCTCTATCAAACAGATTAAACTCATTCAACAAACATTTATGGAGTGCAGACTTTGTGTCTGACACCCTGCTAGGTGCTGAGTTTAAGGCGATGAACAAGGCAGATGTGGATGTGGTCCACAGATTGCCTAGAGACACTTAGAGCAGAGTGGGAGCGGTGCTGTGCCAAAGAGCTGCTGCTGCTGGGGAGCCTCCTAATCTGGCCTGGAGTCCGAGAAGGCGTCCTGCTTCAAGCAGCATCATCTCGCCTGGATTATTGCAATAGCCTCTAAATGGTCTCTTTGCTTCTGTCCTCATCCCATTACAGTCCATTCGCAAGACAGCCGAGTGATCCTTTAAAGATATAAATCAGATCGTGTCATTCTACTCAAAACCCTCCATAGCTCCCGGCGGCCTCAGTAAAAGTCAGAGTTCTCACTGGCCTACCAAACCCTGTACCACTGGGGCCCCCGCACCTCTAAATTCATCTGCTCCTTCTCTCTTCCTTGGGCATTTGGCTCTAGCCACAGTGGCCTCTTTACTATTCCTTGAAAAAGCCAGGGATGTTCCTGCCTCAGGCTTTACACTTGCTCTTCCCCCAGACATCTGCATGGCATACTCCCTCATCTTCTTCATCTTTGCTCAAATGTCACTTAGATGGGGGCTTCCCTGATCACCCTATTCAAGATTGCAACTCCCATCCCCAGATACATCCAGCCCACTTCCCTGCTTTATTTCTCTCCCTCGCACCCATCATCTTCTGGTAGACTATATAGTTTATTTTGCTTAGAGTTTCCCCCACTAGAATCTAAGCTCAATGAAGGCAAGATTTTTTATTTGTTCACTGCTGTATCCCCAGTGCCAGGAAGAGAGCCTGGTCCGCAGTAAGTGCTCGGTGTTTGTTGAATGGATGGAGTGGCATCTAATCAGACTTGAGGGTGAATCAGTCAGGTGAAGAACTGGAGGACGAGCATGCTAGTCAGAGGAAACAGGATGTGCACTAGACGAGAAAACACATCTTCGGGAGTAAGTGAAAGAAGCCGAGTGGGGCTAGAGGTTAGAATACAAGGAATGGGGTGGGCAGACCTAGGATTTAGAGGGGGTGACCTGGTCACTCTGGCTGCTATGGACTGGGGGGAGACTGGCTATGTGCAGAGACCCTGAGACGGTCCCTGCTTCCTTGTTGAGCTCAGAGTGGGGGATCAGTGATGGCCCATGGACAAGAGCTTGGGCTTTCGAACTGGGCTGTCCTGCTGCTACCATATTCCTGGGATACCTAAGGCAGCTGTTTTGTTTTTGTTTTTCATTCAATAAATGTGTTGGTTCAGGTCTTCTAAGAAGCAGACAGTAGGATGAGATTAGACATGCAAGAAATTTATTGGAGGCAATGCCTGTGGAGCTTAAAAGGGAGAGGAGCTGGAGAAGTCAGGGAGAGCCTTCGGACAGCCATGCGAGCCCGGCCCCTGTGAAGGAGGTTTGGGCGGGAGGTCTCGGACTGCAGGGCAGTTCCACAAAGGGTTCGGCCAGGCCAGGCTGATAGGGCATCCTCCAGGCAAAGTTGCCTATTAGAGGAGGCCCAGGTCTCACTCAGTCATTGGGGGCAGCCTGGAAAGTGTGGCATCCACCAGCTGAGGGCATCCACCGATTATGTTCCACCCCAGCAGATCTGATCAGCTCAGTTTCACAGCTGCCATGATAAGTCACACGTGTATATGGTAAAAAATTAAAACGGTACAACGGTACAGTGAAAAGTCTCTCTCCTACCTTAAATGTCCGGTCGTCCAGTTCTGCTCCCTGGGAAGTGTTGGTAAGTTTCTTGTATCCCCTTCCAGAAATTTTAGGTGCATTCACAAGTGTATTTATGTGTATATTTAAAAATATAAATGTGATTATTTTATGCACACTGCTCTGCAACCTGCTTTCTTTTTCTTTAATATGTCAGTTCATAAAGATCTGCCTAATTCCTTTTCATGACTGAATATTATCCCATTCATATGGTAATATTATTTAACCAGTCTCCGACTGGTATGCCATTAAAGGGTTTCCCGTTTTTGTCTTTATAATCAATATTTGTAATGATCATCCTGGTGTGTGTATTTTGTACACACATACAAGTACATGTCCTAGAAATGGAATGCTGAGCCAAAGGGTGTGTGGTTTTAAATTTGGTAGATATTGACAAACTGCCTTCTAAAGAGGCTATGTCAATTTATTCTCCCACCCACAGCAAGCGTATCAGAGTTACTGCTTTGTATTTTTGGCAATCTGAATTTCAAAGTTGTTTTAATTCACATTTCTTTAATTATGAGTCAAGTGAAGCACCTATTCATACATCTGTAAGCAAGGCCATGGTGTCTAATGAGGAGTGGGTACATCCTGCCCTAGCAGCCTGGGTGCCTCCGTGGAGATTCTGACTTCATTCAGTCTGGGGTTAGACCTGGGTGCATGGTTCAGATCCAGTTCACTCCCCAGCTTGAGAACCACTGCTCTGAGGTTACTTGGCTTGACAAAAATGTTCCTGTCCCTGCATCATGATGTCCTGGGGTTTGAAATGAGCAGCTCTGGGCTTTATTAACTCCACCTGGGGCTTCTGTTTTGGCAGGGATCCTGGTAGCTAATGTCAGAAGAAAGTGACTCTCTGAGAACCAGCCCTTCTGCGGCCTCACTTTCAGAAAATGAGCTGCCAGCACGGCCCGAGCCTCCTGGCTACGTGTGCTCGCTGTCAGAAGAACTGGTCATGAAAGCCAGGGAGGAGCTGCAGGAGAAGCCGGAATGGAGACTTCGAGACGTCCAGGCCCTCCGTGACATGGTGCGGAAGGAGTGCCCAAACCTGAGCACCTCTCTCGACGACGCCTTCCTGCTGCGCTTCCTCCGAGCCCGCAAGTTTGATTACGACCGGGCCCTGCAGCTCCTGATCAACTACCACAGCTGCCGGAGGAGCTGGCCCGAAGTCTTCGATAACCTGAAGCCGTCAGCCTTAAAAGATGTCCTTGCTTCCGGATTCCTCACTGTGCTGCCCCACACCGACCCCCGGGGCTGCCACATCCTTTGCCTCCGCCCAGGTACTGCCCTAGACTGTTGCAGGGGGTGCGTGTACAGTTTGGGATGTGTCTGTCCGGCATCCTCCCCCACTTTCCTACTCCCTCTTGTCCCCTCCCTGTCTTACTCAAGGCTCTTTTGATTGCAGGTGACAAAAACCTGCTCAACCTGCCTTAAGGAAAAAGGGAGAATTTAGTCTAAGGCAACAGGAGCATCTCACAGAACCAGAGCTGACAGTGCAGCAGCTCTCAGAGGCCCTGGAACTAAGAACCAGAATCCAGTCCATTCGCCATCAGGAACTAAGATAGCCATTCTCCTCGTCTCTGCTTCTGTCTGTCTGTCAGTCTGTGCATCTCTCTGGGCCACACGTTCTGCTGCCCTTCGCATATCTTCTTCACACGCCTCTCTGTAGACTGGCTTTTGCTGCCCCTGTGCACATGGCTAGTTCTGGCACCCCTCAGCTCCCAGGTTTACCTGGCCACCCAACTAAGTTCCTTCAATGCAGATTCCAGATTTCTCGGGTTGAGAATCTGGTGGGCTGAGAAAGCTGCCCCGCTCATAGGATACAGGCCAGGACCCTCATACCCCCGTGCCTCCTTTGTGAGTAGGTGAGGTACACAAATCAGTGAAAGGGTGTGGGCTGGGCAGACGCCTGGAAAGATGTCTGTCTACCACGTGCCTCCTCCAACTTTTCCCTCCTTTCCTCTACTTCGTTAAGCCATTGAAAGAATTCACCTTAGATTCACTTTTTGATCTTAGCACTTCATGATGGTAATGAGGATACCTTACATTCTTTGGCACGGTAGTTTTCAACTGAGGGCAGCTCCCCACCCACCCACCCCCAAAAAGCATTTAGAAATGTGTAGGAACATTTTTTAGTTGACACGACGACTAGGGGATGCTGGAACTCGAGCCTTCTGATTCTTGATCCTCTTCTCGTCCATGACACCAGATGCATTATAAACTCAGGACTGTTCTCCACTCCACCCCCAGCCTCAACATGGTCCATCAGACCAGAGCTGAGACAAAATTTGAAAGTCAGATTGCAGTGTTCTTCCCAACCAAGCCAGGAAAATGAGAACATGCTGGCAGCCCTCTTTGCTCATGCATACAAACTCCTCCTAGAGGGAAGTCTGATTGGGGAGGGGAAACCTGCATGCACCTTCCTCTGCCTTTGAGCCCCACATCACCATTGCCTTTAGTCACTTACCAAACCCTCTTTGGGGACTAACCCATTCTCTTGAGACTTTACTGTGTACCAGGCACAGTGTTAACTGCTTTACCTGCTATTTTAGGCACTTTCCAAAATTAGAGGTGTATATTTTAAAATAAGCAAGGCAGTGGAGATTTCAGGGCACCAGGAGACCTAGAAACCAGTCAGCAGATTTTTCTGCTGCGCCTCTGTACTCAACACATAAGAATATTACAAAACATTACCACACTGATTTCAACCCTTTGCTTGTGAGATGAATTTTTTCCCCTATGTCTGGAGCAGATCTAGACCCCTCCCCACTGACTCAACATTTTAGGAGGAGGCATACACAGAAGGTTTTGTTCTCCAGTGGGAATGGGCTTTGCTTTCTTTTTGTGTGTGTGTGAGGAAGATCAGCCCTGAGCTAACATCCATGCCAATCCTCTTTTTTTTTTTGCTGAGGAAGACTGGCCCTGGGCTAACATCTATGCCCATCTTCCTCCACTTTATATGGGACGCCACCACAGCATGGCCTGACAAGCGGTGCGTCAGTGCGCGCCCAGGATCCGAACTTGGGCCGCCAGCAACGGAGTGCGCGCACTTAACTGCTACGCCACGGGGCCGGCCCCTGGGCTTTGCTTTCTTATAAGCGCTTTTGAGGCACGTGATTGAAAAGGATGACACGCAGTCATGTAGAAGCAGGTTTAATTGGCAGCAACATTAAACAGCAAGCTGGCACAAATTTTGGCCAAAGATTTTTTCATAGAAATTTTGCACGTTACATATCCCATTGGTGGCATTCATGTGGAGTTTTATCGTTCAAAGAAAGGGACACACAGATCTTGGTGGGATTTTCTTGAGAATAGTGGTTAACAGTCAAAAGTTGTCATTTTCATGTTTTTCCCAAAAAGAGGAAAGACTACTTAAATGTATGGGGAGTATTAAAGAGCATCCAGCCCGGAAAGGGGAATTTGCTCAAACTGCAGCCTTGGGAAGCCGTTTCCATCTCTGCTGTCCTCAGCCTGGCTTCAGTCTCAGGCCAGCGCTTGCCTCATGGGCCCCTGAGTCTCAGGCTCCCAGCCCCACCACTACAAGAGGGAAGAGAGATCTTCTCTTCTCAAAGGCCAGGCTCCCAGAATTGAGTCCCCTTGGCTCTGCTTGACCTGGCTTGGATCACACACTGTGGCCAGGAGGTTGCAATACCCAGGTTGGCCAAGCCCACTTCTGGAGCCAGGAGTCAAGTCAATTTTACCCAAACTGCATGGCTAGCGTGGGAAGAGGTGGTTCCCCCAGGAAAATCAGGGTGGTGGTATGAAGATAAGAGGACACATCTGATGGCATAAGGCACAGATGTCCATTAAGGGAAGTATTATTATTCCACTCTACTTAGGAGGAAATGAAGGCTCAGAGTGAGGAAGTAAGTTGCCCAAGGTCACACAGCTAGTAAAATTCAAACCCCCAGGTGTGTCTAACTTCAGAGCATACGCTTTTAACCGTAACGCTCGATTGCATTTCCATTTCAGAATGTGCTGCTGTGTTTGGAGTTGAGAAACATTAGCTGCTGCTTAAAGGCTCCCCTTTACTAACCCAAGTAGAGTCATGCCAGTAGAGTATCTTTCTTTTCCATTTTTAAACAACAGTTTTAGCAAGGAGATACATCTTAGCCTGTCTGATTACTTGTTTGCATTCATTTCTGTAACATAGTCCATTTCTTACGACCTTAGACAGATGGATACCGAGCAACTATCCAATTACTGAAAACATCCGAGCCATATACTTGACGTTAGAGAAACTCATTCAGTCTGAAGAAACCCAGGTGAATGGAATTGTAATTCTTGCAGACTACAAAGGAGTGAGCTTATCAAAAGCATCTCATTTTGGCCCTTTTATAGCCAAAAAGGTGATTGGCATCCTGCAGGTACGGCCCCTGTGTGTTGCACGCCTGTTCTGTGCTTGTTCTGGCTTTCCCTGGGCCCTGTCCTTTCATTTCAGACTCTGCGCGATGCACAAACCCCACTCCCCACTCCCACAATCAGAAGAGTACAGGTGCATTGTGGGGAGAAGTGTAAACGTCCTGTTTACCCCTCATTCTCATCGGGCTCCCTGGTAGTTTTTGAGGTGCCTTTAGTCTGGACAAGATCAGCTTTAGGGCAAGAGTCCCAACACCAGAGAAATGCTTTCTGCATTTTTGTGTGTGTGTGTCCAGAAGACAGAGCAGAAACTCTCCTAACAAATGAAACTGAGAAATTGTGCTTCTGCCTGAGGTGATGGAGCCTGTCCTGCCTTCTGTGGGACCTGGGGACGTGGAGCACTGTTGGACTCTTGGCCAGATACTTTCACACCTCACGTTCTGTGCTTCAACCGTAAAGTTCCTTACCTACCTTCACAGGGTTTAATGGCTTGCAAAGCACTTTGACAGTCATTATAACCCATTCAACCCTTCAAGGAATCCCCTGAGATAGACAAGGCAAGAATGATTTTCCTTTTTTTTTTTTTTTTTTTTGTGAGGAAGATTGGCCCTGAGCTAATATCTGTTGCCCATCTTCCTCTTTTTTTGCTTGAGGAAGATTGTCCCTGGGCTGGCCCTGTGGCGTAGTGGTTAAGTTCGCTGCGTTCCACTTCCACAGCCTGGGCTTGCGGGTTCGAATCCTGAGTGCAGACCTACACCACTTGTTAGCCATGCTGTGGCAGCAACCCATGTATAAAGCAGAGGAAGACTGGTACAGATGTTAGCTTAGGGCTAATCTTCCTCAAGCAAAAAAAAAAAATGAGGAAGATTGGCAACAGATGGAAAAAAAAAAAAAAGATTGTCCCTGGGCTAACATCTGTGCCAGTCTTCCTCTATTTTGTATGTGGGATGCCACCTTAGCCTGGCTGGTGAGTAGTGTAGGTCCACGCCCAGGATTCGAACCCACAAACCCAGGCTGCCAAAGCAGAGCGTGCCAAACTTAACCACTGGGCCCTGGGGTGGCCCCATAAGTTTTCCTTTTTGATAGATGGGGAAACTGAGACCCAGAAGATGTAGCCTGGCCCAAGTCTCCAGCTCCAACAGGGTTGGCTCCTCGTCCATTCTGACCCAGCCCGTGGGGTGCCATCTCTTGTGAGCTGTGGGGCACCAGAGATAGAACAGTTCTCCCCGCTGAATTCCACAGTGTGTTTGGGTTCCTACTGTGCACCAGGCTGATTATTTAAAGGTCAATGTCACCTTGGGTCATTATCAGAAATTTGAATTCTGGCTTTGAGCCAGTACTCTGGCTTTCCTTAGCTTCCACTCGTCTTTTGAGGCTCCTGCTACATACTGTGTCAATTCCAGTGTCAGGATAAAGAGTTTGGATCAGTGTTTTTCTAGTCCTGTAAGATGATCTGGGGAACAAAAAAGAGTTCCAGGGTTAAATAAAGTTTGGGCAATGTGGGATAGCAAGTCTTTCTTGTTAATTTCACAATAAACATTTGCAGAGTAAAAGCTCTGAACAGTCCTGCAGTTAAGGAAACCTGTTTGACTAGATTTAGTCTACTGTTTTTCAGACTTATTTATCTACCATGGAACCCTTTTTTGCATCACGCCTAGTAACATCCTGAGAAACACACTTTGGGCAACACTAATCCAGAAGTCTCATATTTGCTAGATCCATCCATGTGGACTCAGACCATTTTTACCACAAGAGGAGCAGCTCTTGTTTGCCTAACTGTGTTCTAAGCCGGCTCTGGGTCCCAAGAGAGACTGTTCCCCTGAGGCTTGACTTCCTGTTGAGCCCCCACTTGGGCTGTCTTTGAGGAGGCCGTGAGAATCAGACCAGACTGATGTTGGGGCCTAAAATGAAGAAGATTTAAATGGGGGAGGCAGACTGTGGAAACAGACAGTTTGCAGATATTCCCCATCTTCTAACATCCCCTACCCTCTCCCCACAGGATGGTTTCCCCATTCGGATAAAAGCAGTCCATGTAGTGAATGAACCTCGAATATTTAAAGGCATTTTTGCCATCATAAAACCATTTCTGAAGGAGAAAATAGCAAACAGGGTAAGTGATGATCCTATTGACTTAAGATACTTTAATTTTTTTTTGCTCCCTTATTTGTGACATCTTTAAATTTATTGTGACAACAGTAAACTTAGTTTATTATTTTTGCCCTGGGACTACTAATTTGGAAAGAACAGGGTTACAGATAAAATAAATGAAGAATCCTTTCTGTGAGGGGAAGATGAAATTAATAAGAATATAATATGAACACTAGAGGGAGCAGAGCCAGGATTGTTATCAGAAGAGCTTCCCTGCTCTGTAATCATTTAGACTTTTTAATATCCTGACCTGGGCATGTGATCCAACACTGCATCTTATGTTTAAGAGGACTTGGAGAAGGGCAGTCATTGGGCAGGTAGTTAAAAAGAGTTATGGTGATTTCTTACCACAGCTCCTTGGGGTTTAAAAATGCTATTTAAGCCTTTCCATGTACATAATTTGTTGTCTCTCTGTTTAAAGTTTGTGGAATAACTCATGGTTTATGAGAAATGTGAGTTTTTAGCTTAACTTGTATTTAAGAAAGGATAGATGACACTTTAAAAGATGGTCTTCCTTTCTGACCCAGAAGAGCCACTTCTCTTTTAACCTTTCCCAGTACCGAGATGAAATTGGATGGGTGGTATTTTTCTCCTTCTTCCCTGGGCGTATTGTGGTCACTCAGTGACTCAAGACTGGGTCTTGAATTTTGTACTCTTTTTCAGAGAGGAAACAGATAGAGATAGAGAATCTCAAGGTTGCAAAGGAGGCAACTTAAAATCCAGATCCAGATTCCCAGGCCCTTTTCCCTGAAGATTTTAAGTCATCACTTAAGGGGTGGAGCCGAGGAATCTGTGCTTTTAAAATCTCCTTAGGTGTTTCTGATGCAGTTAGGTTTGAGAATTGCTGATTTAGTGCCCTCCGTGCCTGGGTTTGAACCCATGTTGGTTCCTGGAGATCCTGTTTGGAGCCTGCTTTTACCAAAGTGGCCTTTGGACCAGGTCTCTTACATCTGCAGAATGACCTTATTTGTGGCTCATAATCTTGTTCATTTGGTCCTTCCTATGTTCGTTCATGCATTCAAAAATATTTATTGATCAACTACTATGTGCATATATGTTCTAGATGAACAAAATAGACCAAAGTCTCTGCCCCCAGAAGCTGACATTCTAGAGAGAGACAGACAATGGATTATGTGTGTTATCTAGTACTAAATGTGATAAGTGCATGGAGAAAAATAAAGCAGAGGAAGGGGATAGTGAGGGTGGGGAGGGGGAAGGGTTGCAGTATTCAATAGGGTGCTTAGAGGTGGTGTCGTAGACAAGTTGGCATTTGAGCAAAGACTTGAAAAAGCTGAGGGAGTGAGCCTTACAGATCTCTGGGGGACCAGCAACAGCACGACCCTGAGGTAGCAGCATGCTCGGCATCCCGGGGGAGCAGCAGGGGGAAGTGGGAGGAGGGGGAGGCAGAGACGGAACAGGGGCCAGATTGTGATGGGCCCTGTGAGCCACCGTACGGACTTCAGCTTTTAGTCTGAGATGAGAGCACTGGAAGGTTGTACATAGAGGAGTGGCATGACCTGACTGACATGGAAAGAGCTTAGATTGTGGTGGGACAAGGGTGTGAGCAGGGAGACCAGGTGGGAGGCTAGTGTGGGAATCTAGGTGAGAAGTGATGGTGGCATGGTACCATATGGGGGGCAGTGCAGTGGTCGTATTCTGGATATATTTTGAAGGACCAGCCAACAGGGCACGGAGTATAGGGAAAAGAGAATCAAGGATCCTTAAGCTTTTTGAGGAACTGGAAGGGCAGAGTTGCCATCATCCGTTCCTTTATTCATTCAACAGATATTTATTTGGGCATCTACCATGAAGGAGGTCACTGAATTGCTGATTAACCTAAGGACATATGTTTTCATTTCATTCCCCTTTAGTTTTTCCTCCATGGGTCTGACCTGAACTCTCTCCACACAAACCTTCCAAGAAGCATTCTCCCCAAGGAGTACGGGGGCACGGCTGGAGAGCTGGACATCGCTGCCTGGAACACGGTGCTGCTGGCCTCGGAGGAGGACTTTGTGAGAGAGTTCTGCCAACCCGATCCCGCCTGCGACGACATCCTGGGCGGGGCCCTGCTGCCCGAGGGGCTGACCTCAGATGCGCAGTGTGATGACTCCATGCGGGCTGTGAAATCACAGCTGTACTCCTGCTATTAGCCAGGCCCCTGGGAGTCTCACCATCTTTAGATCCTTTTTTCTCTGGAGAGGCACAAGGAGAATTTGAAGTGCCATGGATTCAGTCTTGCTCCTTGTAATTAAACTGCAGCATGGAGGAAAAGCCTGTAGAGCTTTGAGGGTGAGCCATGGGGTAAGCCCTTGGTTACTTGAATTACTCTGTGTAAGACATGGAAAATGTTCCCTAGTGATTCCCAAACGTTTGGAATCCCAGTTCGCAACCATTAATCTGGAAGCCGTCTCTGGTTCTTACACATCTCAAAGCAAGAAAAATCAGGACCAAAGTCACTTTGATCCTACATCCCAGGAGAAAACAACCTGGTTGGCCAGGCAGCATACTCCCATGAAAGAGTTTGGCCGAGCCTGTAAGGTGGCCACATGTGAGACTTGGGTAGTTTGTTGCCTTTCACATGAACCCTAACTGCAGACCTCTGTTGCTCATCAGGAAGCTTCAAGTTTGAGTTCCAGGTCCCAGTTGCCATCATCACTGGGTTTGAAAAGCACTTTAACTGAATCATACAAGCATTGAGACATAAGCAGCACTTTCAGATCAAATTCGGGAGCCAGAGACTTCAAGCACCTCTGGGATTCATTGGTTGAATCTTGCAATAGAAACAAGCTTTCCCAAACCCATAAGCCTTAGCCCTGGTTCTCAATAGAATCAGACGGGGCCCTAGAAGTATGTAATTTTACTCACCCTAAAATACTGGAAGCCAGGCCTGTGTAGCTAAAAGAATTCTGGCCTAAGAATTAAGAGACCTGGGCTCCAGCCTCAGATGTGTGACTGTGGACAAGGCATGGGCCTCTGCGGGCCTCAGCTTTCTCATCTGTAAAATGAGGCCTAGGGCCCTTCTGGCTGCTGAGGTTCTGAGATTCGGTTTAGTTATTGAATGTTAGACATCGGTTTTCTGCCTAGCAATATGACTCTAGATGCAAGTGGTTGGATCCTGTTTTTTGTGGTACACCTGGGCCTTTCCAAGAGGGATGTGTCACCGTTCAGCCCTGCCTTTAAAGAAACTAGTATGTATCCTGGGACTCAGAGATACCAATCCCTTTTCATAGCAAGGGCTAAACTTGAAAAGGAGGAGGGCAGGTGAGATGACCAGGATCTTGTCTGAATTCCTTCCATCCCTTCCACACCATACTCTGGTGGTGTATTGTAACACTGGAAATGGGGAATGGTTAAATTACGTGGGATCTTAAATTTTGGTCTCTGGAAATGAAAGCAAGGGCAGGTTATTGCTGGGTCATTTCTGGGGCCCCGCCCTCCCAAACCCACTTGAGTTTCTCTCTGTGTGGGTGAACAGACCAGTCTCTCCAGCCAGACTGAATGTTAGTTCTGCATTTCAGCACTTTAGACCCTTCCTGTCAAGAATTTAGCCTTAGCCCAAGCATCAAATTAGGTGGTTCATCTGGTGGCTTTTGACCTGTTTCCTCTCACATTCATTCCATGCAAATTATGGTGTTAAAAAGTGACAAGTACCATGTGTTGTGTGTGTTCCTTCTCTGTGCATTTATTAGACCACCAGGCAAGGTGGACAGCTCAGTTAGGAAGAGAGCAGTGCTCTGAAATGCAAAGGCCAGCCTGTTGTTACTAAGCTGCTCATCTTTACAGCACTTTTTTAAATGTCTGGAGAAGTTGGTGGTGGGAATCACTTACCTCATTAGTGCCAATTCTGAGGAAAGCTCTTTTCACCAGAGATGCTAACCCTGGATCCTCCAGGGGCCTGGCTGAACTGGACGTGCCAAAATGCACACCCCTGGCTGCCTCTAGTTCCATCTGACAGTGACGGCCTGACCAGCATTGCTGAAAAGATCTCAACAGGACATGTGGGATGGCTAACGTAGAGAGTTCAGAACCCAACTGCCTACATGGGAGAATTGATTAGAAGCTTTCTTAGGTTCCAAAGAGGGAAGAGAGATTAAAAAAAAAAAAAAAAAAAAAACGTAGACAGAGAAATGAATCACTCAGCCCCATCAAGTTTCCAAGATTTAAACTCTGCATTGCACTCCTGGCCGATTACCTTTGTCTATATGACAACACAGAGATGGCCAAGCTCACCTAGAGGATGTCTCAAAGACCAGGAAGGATGTTGCTCAGACCTTTCCGGTTGGTCCAAGGAATTGTTTCATTCAGCTTCTGAGAGGAGTCCAGGTTTGTCTGCCTCCTAGAGCTGCTGTGCATTGTTTTGGCTCCAGAGAGAGAGCAAACAGTTTTGGCACCCCAGGGGGTGTGACCCATGCTGCAAAAGCAGAGCCTCCCTGGGTGAAAGGCAAGGCCGTCTTGTGTGACTCCACCAGGCAACTGTATAAAGTTGCCCCAGCCGGCCGGGGGTGACCCAGGGAGCACAGTGAGCCGTCCTCAGTAGTGGGCACACTGACAGAGCAAACAAGTGAACGTCGGGAGAACTGGGAGTGTTTTCCTGCAGGGAAAAGTTCTGGCCCATTTCACAAACCCCTGAAATTGACCTTTTCCCTAACGTCGGGGTAGTATGGTGTAGGGAAGGGAAAGGAATAGTAAGTTAGGAGACCTGAGCTCCAGCCTTACCGTGCCGTGTGGCTTTGGATGAGCCACTGAGTACCCCCGCATCATCATATGATAAAGGGGACCTGCACACTGAGCTCTGAACCCTCGGTTCCGGCATCGACTGGCTTTACTGCCACAGGGACACTGTACTCTATCTTTTAAAAGCCCCCCACCCCGCCCCCCGGATTATTTAGGAAATTGAGGTCTGAATGAATTGACACCTAAAGCTTCTAAATGAATCTAAGCTTAGGTAATATGGGGGTTTTCTTCCCCCTCTTCTCCTACATAGAATTCTGGGAAAATTGTGCCTCTTGCTGGAATCCTATTCGATGTTCACAGGGAGAGGCTGCAAGAAATCGACAGAAACCATCGGAAGGGCAGCCCTGGCCTCCCATCTCGAGCTCCTTGGCTCTGGGCGAAGGTGGCTTTAGCTCCCTCATACTTCATTCTGCTTTCACAAGGAGCCACCTGTCCTTAGAGGTTCACAAAGACTTCAGCTCACAAGATACTCCATTTTTGCCAGAAGTAGGGTTAGCGCAATCAGAGGTATTTCCCTAAATTCCTGTGAGATAGTGAGCCTTTCAGAATTCTCCCTGGATGGGCAGTTTCTTAAAATCCCACCTGATTCTCTGATCAGTCATGGGATTCCTTTTTCATTTGGGTGGGCAAAACCTATTGTACTGTTGTGGCATTAATACCTCATTTTGACGTTTTCAGCTTTTACAGTTTTCCTTTGAAACCTCTTTCATTTAGGAATAAAACGTTAGCTAAGGTGATGATACAAGTGTGGCTGTCCTGTGGCATGAGAGGTGTGGAGGTATCAAACAGAAACATGTTGACTGTCTAGGAAAGATGTCAGTTCTGGTAATGCCTCTCAGTATGGGATCTGTTAATTTTGTAAATCTAAAGTCAATTCCTTTCTGCTCTCCTGACTCAGAAATGGTTTGCTTGAAATGCAAGTAACAGGCATCATCAGTCAAATATTCCTCAATAGAGCTTGCTCCGTGGGAAGGCCCAGTGGGATCTGTGGATGAGATGCTAGTGATGAATTTACTGCTTGCCAAGTCGCTGCTTTTCCTTTCATCTCACTGGGTGGCATGTTTAGTCGGGCACTAAGTCAGATGCCCCTGGGAATTCTTGTGGCTATGCCTCCGTCTCTTGGTATATCAGGTGGGAACCTGTTACACGTGAAATACTTGAAACCCTTCTGGGGCCACGAGCCTCTGACACCACTCTGACGGGGTGGGAGGCAGGCTAATCTTCTGTCCAGATTTTGGGGCACCATTTCAGCCACTGGTCTCATTCCTCACTTCAAAGTGAAGTTCAGTTTGGCTTTGACTATAGGGACACATGGTGGTGGATTCATCTACTTCAGTGTTTGTTTCGACCAAAAGTTTATTTTTCTAGTGCATTTTCTAAGTCAAAGTGGTGAAAACATGTAATTTTAGTATGCATGACTGAGTCTTAAACAATAAAAATCCCTGTAAGGTTGAGTATGTGTGAAGTTCTTTTGTGACAGTGACAGTTTGGATAAAGGTTCTGAGGTCTTATTCTTCATGGTACACGATGGCCTGGGCAGAGCCTCTCTCCAGGTGAGCCAAGGAGGGGCACTGTGGCAGCACAGTGCGTTCCGCAGATGTTGGGCTGGCTGCCCCTGGAGATCATGCACAATTAGAAGATACCAGGGTGCAGAAAGGAGAATGGCGCCAGATGCACACAGTGGTAGAGACGACATGCATGTACTTCCCGGACGTAACGATTCCTGAGTGCTCACGTGGGCTGGACATCAATCAAGTTAAGTGCTTCACATACACCATCTCATTTAATCTTCAAAGACACTTACTGAAGTAGTAGTATTGCCCTTGTGGGGAAAGTGAGGCACAGAAAAGTTAAGCAGCTTGCCCAAGGACACACAGTTAGTCAAGTAGTAGAGCTGGGACTCAGCCAGGCGGTCTGACTGGAGCCCACGATTTCCTCCTGGTGGTCAGAGCTAGGCTGTGCTCTTATTCTTGTCGTTAGCCCCCAGAAAAAACAGAGGGAAAAGGGAGGAAGTTTTTCTAGATGGAAAAAGCATCAGTCTAAAAATTGGCTTGTTTCCTGGCTTCTTAGAAAGCAGAGGTTCTTAACTTCTGAGACCCAAGTAGTAACTCAACATTTTTCGAGAAGTACCTGAAAGTCAACCCAGACTCCTTGAGGGGTCACAAGGGTGTGTGCTCCCATGCATGCTTAGCTGTTTCTCTACCTGGCCCCTGTTCATTTCTACAGAGGAGCACGTACTCTGCCCCAGAGGAGACAAAAGCTAGGTCCCCATGGTGGGTCTGGTGTGTGGTGATGGGTCAGTTGAGAAATACTCTCATGCAGGATGTCCACAGCCCTACTGTTGGCTGTTGATGATGCAACAGGTAAGTACTTACATTGCAACATACCAGCTCTTCAGGTCAGCCTTTCCCTGAGGAAGCTGTGGAACTTAAGCTCAGTCTGTTTCTCACATCTGGAAAAATGGAGCTAATGGCTCTAATCCTTTTTACCATGTAGAAATGTTACGAGGATCAACTGAGGCACTTTATAAGCCATGGAAGTTATTTTCTAGGTTATGAGTCAGCACTTTCTGGTTTCTTTTCTAAAATACCTCTTAGCTTTCCCCAATGCCCACTCCTCACATAGCACTGGTTTAGCACACCTATAATCAGTGGCAGCAAATGTTTCACATTATTACATGTAAAGCTGGTGAGTAACAAAATCCTTTAATAACAAAATTGTTTTTCTGGAAAAAAATCTTTTTAACCAAATGTTTACCCTCTTACCTAATAATTAGGGATACGGTGACCTAATAAGATACTAGTTACTGCCTTCAGGGATTACTAACTTTCCTGTGTTTGTGATGGGTAGTTTAGAGAGCCAGTTGACTCCCCTATGTGTCTCCAAGCAGTTTCTAGTTTATGTTGTCTGCTGTATCCTTAAGGGCCAAAAGACAATGGGGTCTAATTGAAAAAAGAACTCGTAAGTCAAGCCCTGGGTTTGTTTCTCTGCTTCACCTCTTACTGAGTAACTGTGGGCAAGTCACTAACTTCTCTAAGCCTCAGTTTGATCTGTAAAAGGGGGAAAATAATCACTACCTTAGAGGGGTGTAGACAATGTCTGTTCATTGCTTGGTACATGTAGCTATTTCTAATAGTAGCTAATATTCTAATAGCTAATGAGGATATCAGCATCCTGTGGCTTGAGTCACCAAGCAGTAATCAGGACACCACTGCCTGAGTGGGCTGTCTGATTTGGGCTCCTAGGTAACAGAATGGATAGACCAACAC